TTTTGAATAGTGATATGATGTGAAATGTGTGGTTGAAAAAAAAGAAAAAATTATTGATGTGATGGAAAATATTATTTTATTGAAGAATGTGTGGTTGAAAATGAGAATTGATTTACTGTAGAAAATCAAAATTCATACCAAACAAGCTCTTAGTAAATTTTTTGCAAACATTTCTTATTTATAATTGTAAGATAAATTTTATTTTTTCTAGATAATTGAAAAAGGTAACTCCATGCAAGTTACTTTACCATGTTTGTTAGGAATTAAAATTAGATTTTTAATAGATCTTAAAAAAAAAAATGATTGAATGTGTAGTTGAAAAATTGTGGATCTCGTGAAATATGTGATTGAAATTAATTGTTGATTTTGATTTAAATTAAACATTTGTTTGACGATCATTATTTGTAAAAAATAGAGTTTTGAATAGTGATTTTTAAGATAATGTGTGGTTAAAAAATAGAAAATTTTTATTTTATTTTATGTATAAAATATTTTATTATATAAATGTGTGGTTAAAAATGAGTGGCCAGAAACGGGGTTAAATTTTTAATTTTTACAGGGCTTATATTATTTATCAAACCACGTAAACATACCAAACATCACTCACCTGTTTCTTGAACTGGAAATATCCGAGAATAGTAGCGGTGTGATCTTTGCAGATCTGGTGCCTCTTTGTAAGTTCTTTTGGTAATTTCATTTTTATCTGTCGAGTTCTCGAAAATTCTTGATGATTTCGCCTTGTATTGGTATATTATTTTATATTCGTATTTTCGTTCTTGTTATTACTCTTTAAATATGAACACGATTGATTTTAGGGTTTTGATTTACTTGATTCACCGGTCAAATGTTTTGGTTAATTTCTCCTTATCCTCTCTATTTTCGTAATTGAAAAATACTTACCGTTTGAAGTTATATTTTTAATTTTTTTCTAGTTGTTGATGTTCCAATTCATCATTAATGAAGTCGATTGATTTAGGGTTTTGATTTTCTGAACTTGGGGATTAATATTTTTTGTTAACTTTGATCTTCCTATTTACATTTTTTTAATTGAAAGATTTGGTATGCTCTGTGAGTTTATTAGTATAAATTAATTTTTTGTAGAATTACATATTTGAAATACTATTTTTAATGATAGTGTATCTGCAGGCTCCGTACGTGTTGAGAGACAGAAAGAAACCGGAATTTTCAATTTGTTTTTCTTTTTCTTTTATGTTAAAGCTGGTTAAAAAGTTCTACTTCTTCTGCATGGAAACTTGTTAAAAATAATTTGGAAGTAAATTATATCAATCTAGATCTAGATCTAGAAATAGTAAAAGGATGGACAATCTGAAGCTACACGCATATACATTTTAAGGATTTTATGCATGTGGACATATAGGTGAATAGGCGGACTCGTGTACATTTTTTGGAGCATAATATTTAAAAAGGCATAATTTGGTACTTAGTTGCTTTTCCTTCACGAGATGAGGCGGAAGCCTCTCCATAAACAAAAAAAATGTCAAAATAATTATTAGAATCCAAAATAGGCTCATAATAAAATCATGTTTATTATGGCTTATCTTGAATATAAACAATAGACACATAACTTATCTTTAAAATGGACCTACTTACATTCAAAATAAGCCAATATGAGCCACACATTTATAGCTTATCTTTAAGATAAGCCACACAAACATGCTCTAAATTTTAAAAAACCTTCAACATTGAACAATTTAAAGTTTGCGCACAAACAAAAGAAAAATCTACAAAGTAACAAAAAGAACTATTATTTTATTTGGTGAGGCAGTGGACTATTCCCAAAGTGGTCTATGAGAAACACAAGTTCTTAATATTTTAGTAATAGCTGATGCCCAAGGTGTGTTTAATCAGAAAAATACTATTTTTAGTATTTTAGTTATAGTTAGTGAGGCAGTGCGCTATACCCAAAGTGCATCCATAAGAATTTTTACTGTTTTGTGGCCCACATCTAAAACAAAGTAAATAACTCTAGAGAATCAAGGAGTGCACACGTCAATAGCATTGAGGCGCATCTCCAGAAACTGCCTTACAATCAGCGCTTTATGACATTTTTTTTGTTCGCCTTTCTTTGAGGCATTGAGATTTTTTTAAACAATGGGATCATTTTCTATGACATGTGGGCAGAAGTTGGAAATGTCTACCTCTGGTTCTAACTAGTGGGAATCTCTGTTAAACAGAATATTTATAATTATGAGATGTAGGCAGAAGTGAGGGTTTTCTGAATTCTGATTGTTCAGTAACTCATACAATATCAGATATCATTCACTTGGCATTATTCATTGCTAAGTATTATGCTTTGCTGCAGGTAATTCCAGGAAGATTAAATGCATTTTGTTGCTTCTGAAGTTTCATTGATTGGACTTGATTTTTTCAATACTTGTTTGATGGACGATGGTTTTTCCGATGGATGATTTTACGGGAAATTCGTCAATGGAACGTGTTCAGCGCCTATTCAAGAAGGTATATGTGTGCTTTAGTCCAAAAGTCGTTATCTTTAAGTGGGTGGAAGTCAAAGTCTGACATTCTGCATGTGAATGCACGTGTCGTACAATGTGGCCAAGATTACACCTCTTTTATTAGAACATTGCCAAAACTGTTACATTTGAAAAATCATACAATTATCTCATTGAGATAAACCATGCCCACAAATTTAGAATTTACTCGTTTGGTTTAGTTGGTTTTATTAAAAAAATAATTTTATGTTCTCTTTAATCAAGTTTCTTTTGACTGACTTCTTCATTCCGCCATAGAATGTTGAGTTGGAGAACCAGTGTAGGAAAGCGGCCCAAGCCAGAATCCCTTCAGATCCAAAAGCATGGCAAAAGATGTGTGAAAATTATGAAGCTATTATCCTTGAAGACCATGCTTTTTCTGAACAAAACGATGTAGAGTATGCTCTGTGGCAGTTGCATTATAGAAGAATTGAGGAGCTACGGGTGCTCTTCAATGCTGCTCTAGCTTCAGCAGGATCAGCTGCACCTCAGAATGTGAAAGTTCCAGTCCGAGCTGGACCTGATCGACTGACAAAAATCCGTTCCCATCTCAAGGCTTTTCTTTCTGAAGCCACTGGATTTTATCATGATTTGACGTTGAAGCTAAGGGTAAAGTACGGTCTGCCACTGGATCGATTTTCTGATGATCCAGACAATCAAATTTCCTTGTTGGAAGATGCAAATAAATATTCTGAGAGGAATAAGGGATTGATATCCTGTCATCGCTGTTTGATTTATCTGGGGGATCTTGCTCGATACAAGGGCTTATATGGGGAAGGAGATTCTAAAGCTAAGGAGTTTGCAGCTGCATCCAGTTACTATATGCAAGCTTCTTCACTTTGGCCTTCCAGTGGTAATCCACATCACCAGGTGAAATCTTCTCAAACTTCATAGTGATTATCAGTTGGCAATTTTTTTCATTGTCGCCTCTTCCTATATGTTGCATTTAGTTGTCCTGCTTGCTTATTAACTTGTAGTTGTTCTTTTAATTTTTCAGCTTGCTATACTGGCAGGATATTCAAATGATGAATTGGTGTCAATCTATCGCTACTTCCGAAGCCTAGCAGTTGAGAACCCTTTCGTTACTGCAAGGGACAACTTGATCATTGCATTTGAAAAGGTAAATGTTCAGTATTTTAACAAGTGTGGCAACATTAAGTGTATACAACTTTTCACCTCTTACTTAGTAAATATCTATGATTCTTTTTTGCCAACTGTTTTTAATTATCTTTTTACTAGTGTGAATGAATTTGGTGTTTTTACCTAATAAGAACGAAACATGAAGTAGGAATTGCACATTACTATGGGACAAGGACATTTTTCTTGCTTCAATTCTTCAAGATTCTTGTTACCTTCCTGTCAACCAATGGCACAATTACCTTGTTGTTCTCATTGTAAGTTTTCTCCTGTTTTGCAGAATCGTCATAGTTATACCCAACTACTTGGTGATGCTAAAGCTTTGGCGAAGGCAGTACCTTCAAGGATGCCTGGGAACAGCAGAGGCAAAGGTGAAACTAGGCCTTCTATTAAAGATAATGAGGCGGAAGCAATTTCAATTAAGGAAAGAGCTTCCAACATTGCTGATCTTTTGAAAGCCTTCATCACACGATTTGTTCGACTAAATGGCATTCTTTTCACACGGACAAGGTCTGTTCTGAATTTTTACGTTGTTTAGTATATCGTCAAAATGAATTGACAATTCAATGTTGCTTATTCATTTCTCATGTTTATACAGCTTGGAAACTTTTGAGGAAGTCTTCTCAATGGTTAAAAATGATTTGTTAGAACTTTTATCTTCTGGGCCAGATGAAGAGTTCAACTTTGGTTCTGATGCTGCAGAGTGTAGACTTGTAATTGTGAGGCTGATCACCATTCTCATATATATGGTTCATCACGTGAACGAGGAAAATGAAAACCAATCACATGCTGATATCCTACGGCGCCCTGTCCTGCTTTATAATGCATTTACTGCTACCTTTGAATTTATGGGTTATGTACTTGAACGCTGTAACCAGTTGAATGATCCTTCATCGAGCTTCTTATTGCCTGGAATAATGGTTTTTGTAGAATGGTTATCCTGTCACCATAATGTTGCAGTAGACAGTGGTCTGGATGAAAAACAAGTGTATGTTAGATCTTTTTTCTGGAATAATTGTATTGCCTTATTTAATAAGCTCTTATCAAGTGGATATATGTTTGTTGACGAAGATGATGAGACATGTTTCTCCCACGCAAGCAAGTACGGCAAATATGAGACTGCTAATCGTCTTGCATTGTTCGAGGACTTCGAATTGAGTGGATTTCTGCCTCTTCTTCCTGCCCAACTCATCCTTGAATCTTCAAGGAAGCGTTGTTTTGGAAGTGATGGTGGCAATAAGGAAAAGAAAGCCTGCATTCAGAGGATTATTGCAGCTGGAAAGGCTCTTGCAAATGTGGTCCGGATTGGGAAGGAGAGAATATATTTTGACATGAAGTTGAAAAAATTCGTGATCGGTGTTGAATCCCAAATTTCTGATGATTACCCGCTCACCAGTCCTTTAGAAGTTCCCAAAGTAAATGGTAATTTGCTGGAAAATTCTGTTGACGGCCAAGTGGCTCTGGCTGCTTTGCCCAAGCTGGAGGTGGTTGAAGCTGAAGGAGAGGACGAGGATGAGGACGAGGTTATTGTCTTCAAGCCATCTAAGACTGAGAAGCACGTGGGTGACTTTGCTTCAAAATTTACTTCTTCAGAGGTTCTTGCTTCCATTGTTAGTGATGGCATAGTTCATTCGGGGAAAGGAAATGGGCCCCTTTCTGTTGGACATGACAGTTTCCTCTTACAGGGTGCTTCAAGCATGGGGCGATCTGTAACTGTTGCTAACAGCACTTCTCAGTGTATGCTACCAGTCGAATCCAGCATTTCAAAGTGCTTGGTAGAACAAACTCCTACTGTGAATGGATTGGCCGACTTGAGTTTGATGGAAAATGGATCTTCTGTGATACCTGCTGCTTCTGCTGTTCCCTACCCCAAGTTTATCAAAACTGATTCTGGACGTAATTCTCCTGTTCAGATTCCACAAACTGCTGTAACGTCTAAATTTGATTTGATTATGTCCTCTGGAGCAGTTACTGATGGCCTGTCTGTGAAACCATCCCCACCCATATCAGCAGGTGTAAAGAAGAATCTGGTGAGTCGACCTATTCGGGACTTTGGGATCCCACCGGGCTTTGGTTCTATTCCTTCTAGAACTGTGGATGAGTCGTTGAACAGCATGACCTTGAAAAATGGAAATCCTTTAATCCCTCAAATGGACGATTATATCTGGCTAGATGGATATGAGCTATCTTCAAATCAGTGTGTTGGTTTAAACAATTCCACTAATCACGTGGGACCAGAATTCCATTCTCTGAGCAAGAATAATGGTTCAATGGGGATGGCAAGCTTCCCTTTCCCTCGGAAGCAAGTCTCGACAATGCAAGTCCAGAGTGAAAACCAGAAAAGCTGGTTTGACTATCGGTTAGAACTTTTAATGCAACACCAGGAGCAGCAGCAACAATTTCAGGTTGGAAATCAACATTACGTCAGGCCACAGAAGTATCGAGGACAATCTCTTTTGGAAAGTCACTTCTTCATGTGAGATGATTAGGGGAGCATAGATGGTAAGGTGTATTCTGCCTCTTAAGCTTTTAGTGTTTGAACCATTATTTTCTTCTCTCTCTCTATGTATATGGGGGGAGTTTCCTGCTATCTCAAAACTGTCATAATGTTGAGATACACCAGTTGAGTTTCTTCCTCACCAAATTTTCTGATGTGTTAAAAGGTTTTGAACAATTTGGCACGGCAATTGTCCATGGCCAGGTTGTTATCGTTTCCATCATCGCCTTTGCAGAATCTTCTTTAAGTTTGTTGGCATTGTTGGTGTTAAAGAGTGTTGCAGGCAGTTGTCACTGAACAGGTTAAGGTGTGATTTTTTCTTTCTAAATACTTTAAATAATCGAAACACATAACACGGTAGTCTTTTATATACTGACTGAATGCTTCTGTTCTTTCTGAGTGTTACATTTTCCTTTCTTTTGGAACTCTCTTCTCTTCTTCGACTGTGGTCCTCAGCTCTAGGTGAACAATTTTTAATGTGAAAGTGCTTAAACAATCATTGGCCTTTCTGTTTGAGCATCTCTTGCTTTTACTTTTTTCTTGGTTCTCTCACTCCATTTTTTTAGTACTAATGCGCGCATGTATGACGATTTAGGGCCTTGCTTTTTATTGATAGCTCCAACATCTTATCTTTTACTCAGCTACTTTATCTCGAGTAAAGACATATAGATGACAGACTGGGTCTGCTTAACATTACCTTGCCTTGTTTGCATTTTCCGCTGGTAGATGAGTTGTTTACTTGAGGGAGTGATGTTTGTAGTTGGCTACTGTTTTCTTCTTTTATTTTTCTGAGATCCTTTTGTGTGCTTTAATATTTTTCTTGCAAGACAAATAATAACTATATTTACCATTAGCCTTACAAAAGAAAGTGCTCATTTCATCCCTCAAATTAGCAAGTATCTGTATATTCGTCTAACCTTTCCTCCATCTTGTAATATGATGAAGGACTTGACTTCCTACAAATGCGATCTGTTTTCATAATGTAGAGCTATTGCCAATCTGTCAGACCACTTCATCACAAGAATATTCTCTCCTGGGCACTGATGTACTTGTTACTTGGTGATAGCTTGGCCTATTGAGTTAAATTGACTTCTCAATGGATTTGATAACTTTACTAAATGAAGTTTATAGCACATTGCTAAATCGATTTTGGCCTTTTGCAACTATGTTGGACATTTTTGAAACCTTATTTAGAGAAACAGTAGGCAAAAACGAATGCCTGCTGAAGGGGAAAAATAAATGGAGATAAGAGCGAGGATTTATCGTGGAAACCAATATTCTGATATTTTAAACCATGCCGTGGCTGGAATATTGTCATACCACTAGCAAACTCTGTGCAAGATATGCTTGTATTTCTCTAAATGTAGGTTTCATTCAATTTATTAGCAATGTCCATAATTGTGATTTGATGTTGAGAATCCAGCTAAGGTTGATTATACCTAGTGCGTACTAAAATGGTAGAATTTGATTGCTAAACCCCACCCGAACCTCACCCTCACCCCTAAAAAGGGTAATCATTTGGTCATTTTACGCCTCTTTGCTCTCTAGTTGGATGGTCTCTTCAATTCTAATGCTTCTATCATGTATTACTTTCTAGGTAAATTATATTGATGCCTTTTTAGCTTTTTTATATACAGCTTGGGCCAAGCTTCCAGACTATTGCATGGAGATTGTGATGTCAATGGGTGATGTTACTGGTAATTTTACACGCTGGAGTGCCTTGTCTGGTTGGGTCAGTCAGATGTAGGTCTTCAGGAATATCGGGTTATAGCAGGCAGTTCTAGGCATTTGGATGGAATCAATAGAAGTATCGGCAATTCTATTTGGCTCAATGAAAATACTTACCTGAATTGTTAGTAGTCTTTGCCAGAAATGCTGCATTGGGCATTTCAGCAGCTGAACTTTCAAGGTATATTCTTGGCAGTCTTCACTCTCGATCTTGCCTAGTTCTGAATGAAATACAATGGGGAACTTGTACGAATGTTTCTGTGCTATTGGAGTCTGTCAAGGATGTTAGACTGAAATAAGTACGAATTAGAAACATACAATGTATGTGAAACTTTCAAATTATTGATGTTTTGATTTGTAAAAATGGCGTGACACGTAAATGGTGTTCTTATGATGCAACTATCATAATATTCACCTCTTTTATTTTATTTTTTCCCCTTCTTTATTAGTGTCCCTTGGTGCAATCAGAAACATTTTGTTGGAAGAAGGTATAAATGAATCATATGTATGATTTCATAAACTTCTTCGGTATTTCTATGACATTTTTAGAAGGGCTAGTTAGCACAAAACGTCCCTACCTTTGGGGTTGATTTTGGAAACCGTTCCTACCTTTCATTTCTTGACATTTATATCCTTACCTATCACTTTTTCGTGTGCTGAACATTATTTTCACCATATTTTGACTATTTTACCCTCAATTCAAATAAAACAAAAAGAAAAGAAAAGAAAAATTAAAGAATTAATTGTAGTCATGCTCCTAAATTTTTTAAAAAGTGCAAATTAGTTCAAAATCCTTATTAAAACATTAAAAATAAAAAATCTCTCTTTCTCTTCTCGCCTCTTCCTCCCTACGGCCACCTTCCTCCTCCAAAAAATGACCACCAACCGCCACCAAAGCTATCGGACATCACCAATGTCAAGCCCATAACACTAGCTTCCAGTACATCCAAACATCAAGAAATTCCATCCACAAAATTGCAAGAAATCGAGCTAAGAAAAAAACTGCCACGGAAAATGAAAAACGTCGGGAATCGTGATTCCGGCCAAACCCATGGTCGAAACCCACCACTGGCCGACTGCCCATCAATAGAAGATCCTACCCATGTGACGTAGCGGAAGATTATAGGAAAGATGAACAACCTCACAAATATGAGATAAACTCACGAAAGTTTTTATTCAATTCAATAATGTCTGCCTCGAAGGGCTTACAATGGTTAAATAGCGAAA